TCCAAACACCAGCATCAGACATAATGTCCACAACACCCGTTGAGAAAGCCTAACACTGGTACTCAGTTGACCCTAGCCCGAATGGACCAGCCGATTGACCCTGGGGAGCCACCCGTCTACAGAAATTCAAGGTCAAAGTGGTGTGTTGCAGTGCCCCAGACATCACTCAACCACCAGGATCCTCTCCTCCCCTTTACGGGTCGCCACGCACGTCAAACACGTGGGTGGACGTTTAGATCACAGAGGAAGTAACTGAAAAATACAGAACCTTCCCTGGGAGGTCCCCTCACCACGTCGAGGGTCAAACAAATTAAACAGAATTACAGAACTTGAAGTGCGCCATCTTCTGGTATATATATATATATATATCAAATTCAGCCTAAATGTATTGTTTTCACTTCTCTTGTTTTTTTTTACTATTTTTATAGAAGAATGTACCATTTTACTAAGCTCTCATATGGATTGCGTCGTAATTCAAGCAAATGTAAAGGCAATTTTTACAAATAATAAAATAACTGCATATAAAACTAGCAAGAAGCAGAAGGAGCAGCTATAAGTACTTTCCTGCTAGTTTTATAACATTATTACTCTTTGAACATTTGCCTTTGCTTAAAAATATAGCCCTCTAAGTTACAGTTTAAAGAATCATACCCGAGATTTAATAAGCCTTTTTATTATTGTTAATTACCATCAAATACACAAAAATCTGATTTTAAAACATTGTTTTTTGGATTTTTAATAGATCATGCATTAAGTAACAAAAATATGGAAATTCTTTTTGCCTATCTTAAAGTACCACACATAACAATCAAATAGATATTAAGGTAAGCATGTCAAAAATGGGAAACAATGTATTATTGTATCTATACTTATAAATAAAAAAAGGTTATGCAAATTCTAAGCCCAAAAATAATTTGAGCTAGATTGTTTCACTTACTTAATCACTACTATGATTAAAGTGTATTTACTAAACAGAGATAATAATAATGTATATTGAACTTTACTAAGGATGAAAACTTTTGAAATATTAGAAATGTAATAACTTAGGTTTTTAAATAATTAATTTTTTCTTCCCTTTATCAAACTCACCATAGATTTGATTACATGTAGGAAAATTATGTATTTATCTATTACGCTTAACAAACTTATAGTTTGGGTTGTCATAATCGTATTGAGAGAGACAAGTGGACTTCGGAAAACACTACACTTTCCAAAAGGGGGTTACCCACATACAAGCCACCATTGAGCATCAGCCTAGTAAGAAAGTTGAGAATAATGTGTTGAAGTTTTAATCCTTAAATAAAAATACTGTCGTGGCAATTTAGCTTTTGCGTTTCTTACGAGAAGGATACCAGGCTTGTACTCTACCAACTGAGCAAAGGGTTGATCTGCATGTACTGATAATTATGTAACTAATATTTTTTTTAAAAAATCACAAAAATGATCTATTAACTTTTTTTTTTAATATAAAGTTCAGGTACTGCGAGCCTATGTACTTTGAAGTGGAGATTGTTATATGGAAACCAAACCCTATTTTAGTAGTTTTATCACAATTATATATATATATATATATATATATATATATATATATTTTTTCACAAAGCTACGGAAGGGTTATCTTCCCACAGCTATCCATATTTTAAGCTGAAGACTAGCGCCAATTCTTGTTTGACCGAATAATGAAATTTGATTATCACTTATAGTGCACACACGACCCCGAAATAGCTTGTTTTAGTGATAAAGGGGACGCAAACCACGAATTCTCAGAATCACTATCTGGGTACTTATCAATAAGTCATGCCCAGCTTATTTAGTTCTGTAACCAGCAACTGTGTCATAGCATAATATGTATTGTTGTAGGGTACCAGTGTGTCTGAAAGGCTACAAATAAAACAGAAAATTAAGAGGATAATTGAAGCACTACACAAAAAATGAAGAGAGAGAGAGCAGAGAACCAGTATTTAAAAATATCTTGGAATACACAAGCGAAGGGGACGGCTTCAACAGGAATATTCCAAGTAAGCTACAAGTACAATCCTCACACGTGACCTTAGAATTTAATGATGACTTACAAATGCAATCCACATAAAAACAATTCTGTGTGAATTGTACAAAACTACTGTTATAAATAAACTATGAACCAACTCCTAGTAAATTCTTGCAATAACCTCCACTGTCTCAATTTGCCTTTTACAGTTAAAACAACTGGTCAAATAAATTTGTGATTATATCAATATTTGTTAATTAGCATAATCATGAAACACTGAGCACAGTCAAAAACTTTAATTATACTGTACTATGATGCCCTACATGCTAGAAATATTAATTGTAAAACCAACCTCAATTATTTTCACAAAAAAAAGAACACCATCAGTTAGGATGACCACTACCACTTGCTTAGTATACTGGAAATTATTGTGGATTAAGTCATAGAAAGTTGAATTTTTCATCACACCATAAAGTCTAATTTGTTATTTAACATATTTCTACAGGCAGTGAATCACTGATCTTTAGTTGTTCCTTAAAAGCTAGTGAAAAAAAAAAACCTACTGCAAGAAGAAAATTTGTTTACATCCTTTTTTGTTCACTCTTTTGAATAAACAAATCTGTTATCTATGAATGCTTTCTTCTCATCAGAAAACAAAATTTGAAAATTCATAAAACAATTTATTGCTGCCATGTATTACAAAAATGGCAAAGAATCAAAGATAGAACTCTACACACAATTTATGACATCTTTTCCATATATAAAACATTCAAAATAATTTTTACGAACAACTACAACACTCAAATTCTTATTTAAACAAACCTAATCTTTTTATTATTATATATTTTACAGATCTGTGCATACTTTACTGTAAATACTGGAATTCTAAAATATGCTTCGATATAGAAGAGAGATTACTATACAGAAAAAGGTCCCTTAATACTTTCCTGTTATACCATACAGTAAGCACACACACATAAATGATATAAATGGAACTGGTCTAAACAACAATAGAGAAACCAGAAAAGCAAGTTAAGCTAACACACATTAAACAAGTTTAAGAAAATAATATAAAAATCACATGTTGATATTAAAAAAAATAAAACATTAATGTCTAAAATCTGGATGCTTTGTTTCAACTTTTTTACTGTCTACATTTTTAAGCATCATATTAACTAAAAATTAAAAAAAAACTATTTCAGGTACTCAAACCTTTAATATCCAAGTTATTAATTTATGAAAAAATTGCTGCAAGTCTTCTATTCTTCATGCAATCATTCATCTTCAAAGCATGTACAAAACATTTATTTTTCATTTGCATTCACTGAATAATTCAATGCTGTTGTACACAATCACAAAAAAAAAAAAAAAACAACTACAAATCTGAACTTGCAAAATATATATATTCTTCTATGTTACTATATGGGTCAACTTGTGTTGCCTATAAAATTTAAGAAGTGTTAGGCATAAACGAATTTATTGCCAGGGGCTTAAGTAGAATGTTATATGTAGTTCTAAAAATATTATCTTGTTATCCAGTGATTTGCTCTTAAAATCATTGAAGGTTACACAGGAATTTATCATATTGCTTTGAAACAGAAGACACAATTTGTTAACTTTAGATCTCAAGTAAGAGGTTGTCTTATTGCTTTGGACTGCAAGCGGGAATACATTTTGTTTTGAAGTTAAAACACTAATTATCCTATTTTAAAAAGCATATAATAACTGTTTTTCCAGTTTGAACATAAGCTTATTTTTATTGCTTTTCACTTATGGATGTTATTTAACAAACTCTTCAAAGTTAACAGAAAATCTGGCTTATGACAATTTCTTTTAAAGCAAGAATGTCTGGAAATGTATTGACTTCGTGCATTCATAATTTGAAAACTACTGTGGACAAGTTTATGCAAGATACGTGTAAGTTTAGTACAGTTAACTTTAAGATTTGTAATACATACATAAATTAGACGAGTACCATTTGATACACCTAAATCATCATCTGGATAGCATATCCATTAAGGTTTTCCCAGTGAAAAATGCTCAAGTACCATTTTTTATTGACTTATTTGATAATTTAATTATAACTTAAAATTTATATCCATATATTAAGAAAAATAACAATTACAAAGTGTTTATCAAAAACCTGGAATAGTACTAATTTTAAATTTCTTGCTTTAATAGTAGGTAGTGTTATCTAACGGGGTAAAGTTGAAATGTCTTTCATGGTAAATAGGCTATCATATGGGGATTTTTTTTTGTCTTCTTATTCAACTCTCTGTGGAACAAAAATTTTCTTCCTTATCTTCATTGGCTACTTTTACAAAAAGTGAACATTTTAACTCAGCTTCTTCACTGTTGAGTCACACTTTCTTCATGGAGCAGCATTACCAAAATCCCAAATTTACATACATTAAAAATTCTTTTTTTTTTCAAACTATATTTCAAACTTTACCATAAATTTTTAATTTTGAGAATATAATTTGTAAAATAAAAGATTAGTATCACCACGTAAATGTATGCATTTCTACAATCTAGTAACATATATATACACACATCTTAACATAATTCAAATAATCCACTTAAACAGTACTTCAAGTGCTAAACACTCGTAATCCAATTTCAATGGTATAGTGTTACAAATACAGAATAATGTACTTAACTTGTTCTACATATATCCATTTGTTTTAAATATTTTAAGTTTTTCTAACATACAATAAAATTGGAAGTCCCTTCAGGAAGCATCATATGAGGAGACAAATTCTAGAAACTAATTCTAGAAATAGCCGTTTATTAAAAACATCTTTTTCATAAACACACTAATCCATTGCCTTGCTGTTTTTCCTTCAAATTTTGACTCGCATATATATTTTTTTTGAAAATAATGAGCAACTCTTAATACACAATGCAAAATATTCAATGTATTATACGATAGTAAGCTTGTATAATGATTTATAAATACTCAAACTAATTATGAGCAACTTTTCAAATAGGTACGATGACAAGGTAAGGCAATAGATTAATTATTTTAGAAACAGACTATAGTAACAGTCAAACTCTCAATAAATAATTACCCATTTTTTTACACATAATCAAAGTACCTGATAAGCTTCCATTCCTTGAAGCTTGTGTTTTACATTAGTACAGCAACTGTCACTTTTCATATTCCTGTTGTACATCAGTTCAAGTGTAAAGATTACGACTCTCACCTCAGAACTATTAGACCTTCAATACTTGTAAATACTGTTTCAAATCAGTATAGTATCAATCATGCTTTCAATACTTGCTATACACCAAAACAGTATCAGTTGAGTTTTGAAATAAATTACTTGCAACTTTTTTTAAACATCAAACAGTACAATGTCGGCCATACTCATTTTCAATACTTCCAAAGCAACTTACTAGCCTAATTTTTAGATCACTAACATAGCTAACTGTTTTTTTGTATAACTAGATCAGTCTGTTCAAACAACTTTAGAAAGTTTCCTCAACACATTAGCAAGGATTTGTGTTCTATAAGCATTAACTAAGCACCTTTTATGTGATTTAATCATAGATCATCTTTCAATGTCTGTGTAAGAAAACTAACACTAATAGAAAAAAAGACACAAGAAGTTTGGTAATGCTTGTTGGGGGCATTCATAGAAGACACAAAACAGACACCTTATCTAGATTGTTATACTTCCATTTTCCTTTGTTTTCATCACAGCATTTTTCTATTAATTTCTGCCTGTTTCATCAACAAAAGTACCTTTTAATATTTACATCTATTGAGTAAAATGATTAGTTTCTTGAGCATTATTTTAAACAAATGTTTGCAATAACTATTATTACATGTAAGTGCTATCTTGTGCTTGACTTTAACAGATAAACACAACTGCTGTACCATATTATAATGGTTAACATTACTTGGAAATTATTAATCCCTAAAATATTTATTACAACAGGGCATAAAAGCAGCATTTTGAACTCAGTAAATTAAGCACAAAGTAACATTTCAACCTAAATAAATATGTACACTATTATGAAGCCTACATAAACCACATTTACCTTAATGAAGCCATTAGTGAGTCTGCCCTAACAGTATGAAATCATACTAGCATGTCCATCCACCTTAATGAACCCTACACAAGCCACCAATTCCATATGCAAACACATGATCACAAATAATGCAATAACTATGTCCATCTTAAAAAACCCTTCACAAAACATGACATACAAGAGCAAAAATGTATTAATAGAATTATGAGCAAACTGCACAAGTACAAATCTTTTAGTAATTCCCAGTAACTCAGGCATCAGAAAGATAAAAAAAAGAAGTGATGCTAACCTTTTTAGTCAGTAATAAAGTCTATAAGACTTTAACAACGTAAAAAAAAGTGATTCTTCTATTTGAATTAGATTATTGTTTTGTTTAAAATCAACCAACTTCTAAAAACCATAGTAAGATTTTAATTTACCAATATGAAAAAAAAAACAACAAAAAACATTCATTCATTACTATTATCAATTCTTGGATTTGTTTTAAAAAATCATGATTTTCTATTTTGTACAACACAAACAAAAGTGTTAATATGTCTATTAGCTATTTCCTGGTAAGATAAAACCATCCTATAAACCTGGAAGCAAAGTATAGTTAGAAGCCAATTTAATGGCTTTTATGTACTGGATGATTTTGTGAAATTACTTTTCTCTGAAGTATTTAGTGCCATTGCTTTTATTTGTCTTGGTGCTTTTGTCTAGTTATTAACCCAGTTAAAGCTACATAATGTTTCTGCTTAATAATCTCAATGTTCTTTATCTTTGATTCTGAATATCTTAATTTGATTTAAAAAAACAACAACTAACATTTACTCATGTACGTTCTTTTACTGCACACAATCCACAATAAACTAATTCTTACATACACACTGACTTCTAAGAAATACATTAGGCCTTTGTTTCTGCAACACTTTAAAGATTTGGCTTAAATATCTTAAGTTTGACTCAGTATGTTGATTTATCTAACAAGTGACTTATTCCACAATACAAACTGAAACGCACAATACTAAAACTTTGGGATGAGATCGAAGTTTCTTAAAAATAGTTTTATAGAAATGCTCACAATTTCTATTCAAATTTATTATGCTAGAGTACTACGATTTTAGCTGTTGCTCCAAAACTGTAGTAGTTGTCATATTACAGAGTAGGAAATGATACCCAACATTTTATTGAACTTTAGGTATGAAGACCAATTAATAAGTAATAAAAAAAAACATTCTGTGTCAAACTACCACTGTGCCACACACAATGAGTCATTACACTAGCATAAGTTTGTATTTAACTGCTCTTCCACAGACATAAAACACTTGAGGTAAAGACTTGGAAAAAAGTTTTTAATAAGGCACACAATGTAATTTCCTATTAAAACTAGTCTTGGATGTGCCTAGTTTAGTTGTTATTATTATTTATAATTATATACATGAATTGGAAGAAAAATCTATAAATCACCACATATCTATCCTGTGAATGTCATCTACACACATACAAGTCATCAGAAACTGACTAGTTACTACATTCTTTTGGTGGGGTCTTTTTTTATAACTATATATGGAACCAACTGATAAATGTAGGGAACTGAAGCTGCCACCAAGTGTATCTCTACTTATTCCTAACTGATTTTCTCAGTCTTTTAGATGAAGAAGGTCCTGTTAAAGAACTTTCCTGAACACTAGCAGTTTCTTCTTGTTTGTCATCTTTACGCAGCGAGAATTTTCTTTTACTAGTACTTGCAACAGTTTTTCCCTTATTCTTTTTGGACCCTGGTGGCCTTCCTGGTGAGATTCTCTTCAAACTGCCTTCACCACTGTTTTCTGCCTTGACTTCAAGAGGTTCACAACTGGCTGTTGAAAGAGAATTGGTATTCTCTGAGGTAGCTGTGTCTACTACTGTTGGATTCTGAACATCATGTACATTTTCCTGACTCACAATGTCACTACTTGTCCCTGGTGACATCTCACCATTAACAGATTCTACTTGTGACCTACTGTCTTTATCAATAGAGTTGCTGAGATCGGAAATTTTACTGCAATCTATCTGACTACTGTTTTCTGTTTTTTGGTCACTATCATGTAAAGAGCTGATCAAATTATCTTGCAGATTTTTAGGCAAGCCATTATTATCCTCCTCTGCCTCCACAGACAGTTTGTGTGACATGCTGTGTTGGAGCAGTTTAAGAAAAGAGAAAAATATTTTGTGACAAATATTACATGAAAAAGTATGGAAGCGTGGTGAAGTTGCAGATTTTTGCTCTTCTTTTGATATATTCATCATCTCTTGTTGCTTTGTTTGTGCTCTAAGAATTCCTAGAACAGAATTCTGTATCTGACCACGCACAGATAAGGTCGAAGGACTTACTCCACTACCAAATTCAGTTTCTTTTTTTCCTTGTAAATTCAACAGATTTACATCCTTCTTTTCTTCCACTTCTTTTGCAGCTGGACAGACATCTCTGATGTGTTTTCTGTAGTTTGCCAAGTAGGAAAATGTACGTCGACAAACAGAACATTTGTGCGTTTGATTTATTGATGTTGCAGATGCTGGCTTGATGGGCAGATAAAGTTTTGGAGTTGAGTGTAATATTACTGGAGGTGGAGGATTTAGACTAGGTAAAGATGGAGATTCTGTCTTTAAGCTCACCTCTAATGCTGTATTATTATTATCTAGCTTCTCAGAATCAGTCTTCTCATTAAAAGAAGGAACAGAATCCTCCATTGATTTTTCAGTGAATGTTTCCTGATCCGTGGAATTTAAATTCTCTGAAGTGAAAGTGTCACAATTTACACATGAACTTTCTGAAACAAGTTCTTTTTCCTGGGATTTATCAACATTTCCAAGTATATTTTTGGGGTTTGTGTCCTTATTTGAGGTATCCAAGCTTTCTGATAAGTCCCTTGTTTCACTATTCTGAAGGGTTGAAGGATCAGACTGCTCCTGTTCTATCTTTTTTGCTTTGATTCTTCTTGGGGATATCTTTGGCTGCTCAAGAGGACCAGGCTTTTTACACCTTCGTGAGGATTTTCTTATATTTTCACAAGTTGACAACAGAGGGATGGAATCAATATTTTGGGCAATCGATGTCTTTAAAATATCTGTCTCAGGCTGAACAAAATCCAGGCATTTTTCTTGGCGAGAATCACTTTCAAAAACTACTAAGTCAACACCAGGGTCTTCTTTAGTTGTACTTAACTCAGTTACTTTATGTTTTAATTCATTAACTTCCTGATTAATTTTGCATTCTGTATCTGCAGTGTTGTTATCCTCAGAAGCTATCTGGTCACATTCCTCTAACAAAACGCTTGCTGTACTTTTTTCAGTTTTGTTCACAATAACATTTTCTGAAGTCTTTTTGCTGACCTCAGTAACTGATTCCTGCTTCTTCTTACCATAACATTTGTTTTTAATGTGTTTCTTAAGTCTAGCTAAATAGGTGAACCTTCTGCCACAGCGACGACAACTATGCCTTTGGCTTAATGTTTTTGTATTAGTTAAAGATAAATTTGAATCTGTGCTGTTTACTTCTAATGCAATCTTTAATGGACATCCTCGCTTATGTCGCTGGAATGCTGCAAAGTAATTGAACTTTATATCACAACCATCACAGGTAAATATATCATTCTGGTCACTGCTTATTGTTTTCATATGTTGGGATGATTTTTTAGTGTATCTTAGCTCCCACATGGGTTTCTTGGATTTTTCAATCTTTTTGGGCTTTTTCTGATAACTTGATGTACAAAGATATTCATCAAGATATGTCTGGATACCCTTTCCATACTTTCTCCTCTTCCTAATTTTGTTTTTATATAGTTTGTTAATTTTTTGACTATACCTAATGAAACTCTTGTCTCCACCACACTCTAAAATGTGGAGGTGAAGATCTGGAACAGAGTCAAATGTCCCTTGACACTTAGTACAATGAAGTTTGGAATTATCTGTGGATGTTAAAGGTGGGACCACACAGCTTCTCAGTTTTCCTACAGGGCTACATAGGTGATAGCAAATCTCAGGAGGAATTTCCTTCTCTCCTTCAACTTCAATATGTGTGCAGAAAACATTTGGATGGTTGTTTAACTTATGATCTTCTATTATTTTCAAGGAAGCAAATCTCTCCCCACAAGTTTTACATATGTATGTGATATTTCCTTCCATAACAGTACTTTTCACTGAAGATTCGGTTATCTCTTGTGTTTTACTTTTGTTCATCACAAGTTCCTCATCTGACATTGGTCCAGATTCTTCCGAGAAGTTATCCATTCCAGATATTTCATTTCCCTCTCCATATTCATCACACTCCTGTTTCAATCCAATTGCTTTTAAAATGTTGCATTCTTCAGGAAGTATTTCTGGTTCTGTTCTTCTTGGTTGTGACTTGTCAATCTCTTCTGGCACCTCCTCATTTCTACTGAAGTCGAAACCTGAAGGAAAATTGTAGTTTGTCCATAACACCTTGTTTTTAACAGCCATTTTATATTTGCTGGGAGACTTTTTAGTACCATCGTGAATTTGTGAAGATTTTCCATCCACAAAATGTATTAGGTTCTCTGAAATTTTTTCAGCTATTGTCAAGAAAAACTCTGCTTCAGAAAGTGCACAACTACTATCCTGCAAGGCACTAGAATTTTGCACAATAGGTTTTCCATACTTATTCTTGCCTTGCTTTCCTCTTGGGATATACTGATGAGCAAGACGTCGATGGCGACACATATTTACATATGAACTGAACTGTTTTTTACAAACGGTGCAAGAAACTTGAATCCCTGCCATAGAAGCATTTACTAATAGGCTTTCAATATTACCTTCAGAATAAATTCTAGAGTTCCTCTTCTCTCCACCCTCTGCTACCTCTTCATTACAAATCTTTAGAGGCTGCTCTACTGAGATGTTTGCATTATGTTTTACACTTTGATGTTTCTCAAGTGAGACTTTGGTTGTGAAATTTCTTGGGCACTTATCACACGAGAATATATGTTCCTTGTGGAATTTCATGATATGTTTTTTTAATGATTTTTCCAAAGCAAACAAACCATTACAATAATTACAAATTACCGTTTTTCCTCCTTTATGTAAAGTCTCATGTTTCTGCAACTTTTCAGCCGTACGGAACTTTTTGAAACAGAAACTGCATTCAAAGACTTTAACTTCAGCATGAACAGATGAATGACGCACCAAGTTCTGCTTGTGTGTGAATGTCATATCACAATCAGGGCATGAGAAACTTTTCTGACTAGGAACTGCTGGGTGGTTAGTGACATGACTTTTAAGGTCACCTCTGGTATCGAATAACTGTCGACATAAGTGACAACGATACAATCCAACCATGTCTTCCGAAGTTGAAACTACACTCTCCTTATTTTCTTCACTTCTAGCTCCCAATGTTTCAATTTTCTGATTCACAGATTTTCCAGCAGATGTCTTTTGATCTTCTTTCAAAGAATTCACATTGATGTTACAATTTGCAATATCTGAATCTGACAAGTACTTGTAATTGATGTGGTTCCTCAAGAAGTGCCTTTTGAGACTGAAAGCGTGTCGGTAAATTCCTGCACATATGTCACACTTGTACTGCTTCTTCCCTTGTTTACCATCTACTGTATGTTCTGGTTGCATGTGAAATTGGTATTCCTTTTTCTTCCCTACTGTTTCTTTTACTGTTTCATCGTTTGCTTTGTTGACTGTTGGATTGTCTTTGCTATTGTTAGTAACAGAATGATTTGTCTTAGTAGGAGTAACACATAATTTCTTACCCTGTGGAACTAAATGTTCATATGTAGTAAGGGAAGTATTATTTTTTGTATTCTTTACATCAGCATGGTGTTTATTTTTGGCAGGAAATACAATACCTTGGTCAGTTTTTGGTACAGGCTGACTTGAGTCACTTTTAGTAAGCAAATCATTTTCATGTTCTTGGAAAAGATGTTCCGAGTCATTTTGGGGAAAAAAATCACCTTTATTTATAATTTTTGGGATAGATTGATTCAATTCATTCTTGGTTAGAGAAACAGCTTGATTTGAAGACTTTGAAACTGATATGTCATTGTCAAGGGCAGTATTATCATTTAAGATTTCTGAAACAGTCTGGCTAGACTCATTATTTGTAATAGAGATATCTTCTTCTAAAGTTTCTGACACAAATTGTCCTGTCTCATTTCTATCAGTACTAAAACTATCATTTTCATTATCTAAAAGAACATGTTGAATTTCACTTTTTTTATTCTGTATCGTTTTATTTTTCAAGTCCTCCTCTAACTTATTCTGGATACCACAAAAACTGTCTTGACTCATATTTGAAACTGATTCTACTTTCTCATCCTTTACAGAGCAGATGTTATTCTTATCAGTCACTAAGTTAGAGCTCCCAGATTCACTCAGTGAGACAGACTTGGAATCATCACCTGATGCCTCTTCTGTAGTTAGTTTCTTAGAAGTAGACTTAGGACTCTGTTGGCAAGTTTTAGAAGAAAGGAGTAGATCCTTACTGGTTAGGGCAGGTGAAGTGTTTTCATTTAACTTTTTTTTGCCTACTAAGGAAAGGTCTAGTACATGTGGTTCTAGAAAGATAAAAAACAAAAGTGCAATTCATAAGTTAATCATTCAAAGCAAATTTCAACACTACTAGGTCTACAAACAACACCCAAAACATAGATTTCATTGCTCAGTACCATTCTGCTTTGCACAAAATTATTTACACAAAATACAGCAATTATTTCATAGTTTAACCATTCAAAAACATATAAAACTGAAAATCACAAATAACAGGCCAGATAAAATCTTGCAAATATGGAGTAAACATTTTTCAAATTTGACAGAAATAAAGTAACTCATTTAGCAGTTTTGTTTTTTTCATATAAATCATTTTGTCTAAAAAAAAGAGCAGTTTACAGAAACAATAATTCATATAATATTCATTTGTGTTTATATCACCACGATTCACAGATTTTACAAAAGAAATTTTAACACCTTTTTCTAGGATTCATACTCACTTTCCAGAATTCTCGAAACTGACAATTAATAAAAAAATTAATTACTTAAAGTACCATATAAATCAATAGAAACAATTATTAAAATGCAACTGTAAGTCTATCTGCTTTCTTTGAATTTTTTTGTTCAAAGTTTAGGGAAACAAAATCATAAAATATTCTTTAATTTGATCCATCAGTAGCTCTTTGAAGTATTCTGCATAGCAAAACCCACACAGATAAGCTGTTTAACTCTCACCACATGTAAATATTGAAGCAATACTGTTGTCAGGAATAATAAGCTAGAACAACTTACCTACAGTTTAATTTGATTTATATGAATAGTGTGCTGAAATTGTTTTCAAATGTTGATAAAATTTCTGTCTGCAGAATATAATTTTTTATCAGTTTTCCAAACAAACTGACCACATGTTTAACTATCACTTACTACACTTGGTTGTATAGCAGCAAGGATAAAGCATTACAATTCCCTCCCAAGTTTTTCAATGTCCATATTTACAGTTCAAGTGAAGTTAGCATAATTTCAGTGGCACATGGATTTTTGGTTTCTTTGTGTTCATTTCTTTTGTATGTAACTTCAAGGTGTTCTTGCCCATTTTGGAAACGACAATCACTCAGTTGCAATAGCAGTAGATGACCTCATGCCTATCATTTTTACTGGCCTTGGGCTCAGCTAAACTGTGTCAGCAACTTTGTGTTAATCACATATCCACTCATGTCTCAAAAGATCAAGTGACTCAAGTATATAATGATAATAATATGAGAATAAGAGAATGGATAAATCTGAAATGTGTAGCCACAGATTTAAGCACATCCTATTCGTTGGCAAGAAACCCGCTGAAATTTGGTTTTTCTATTTTATTTATGAAATACCTATTAGAAAAAGTTTATATATCAAACTATAAAATATGTTCTACATTCAGGACATTTTCTCAAAATTCAAGGTTTTTCAAGCCTGTACAAACTATAGCAACTCTTATATTTATATTAAAACTTCCATACAAACCTTGAATTTCTGTTGTGTTGTTCTGCATGGTTTTTGTTTTGAATATATAATTTTCTATCTGTAAATAATAAAGAAAAAACTGAAAAAAACTCAAGTCTACAGAAATAAAGAAATTCCACAAAAAATACATTTTAATACTAATTTCAATCACCCTTTAATCCAAACCCCTGAAAATGGTACTTTTCTACAATACATACAAAGTAAAGTTAGGCAGGGTAGCTATTTTTACAGGGTGTACATGCAATAATAAGAAGCTGGTACAGTTGATTATTTATTAAACATTTACTGGTGAGGAATCAATACCTTCTAATAATAAGTTGTTTTATAACAATAAACTCCTAATAAAAATGGTTTAATGAATTAGTTTTATACATTACTGAGTTAATATTTAGTTCTGATTATGCAGAAATCTTGTTTAGATTAGAAGTTATTGATAATCACCATCTGAAGGTGAATAGGTTGGCTAAGCATGGTATTAAAAAAAATATATGCGTGTATATAACCGAAACATCAATAAGATTCACCTGTAGAAATAATAAAACACCCTATTATCAGGCTTTTTTCTATTAATTTCTTCTACTAGAGTGACTTTGACTTCAAGTAATAAGAAAAAAACAATTAGAATAAGATTTTCATTTAAAAAGAAAAGTATATTGGCAGATTTTATTTATTTTTGAACATTTGTAATGTACTTAATTTATACATGGACTGTATTATATGTCTGTACATTTGGAAAGTATGTCTTTTTAATTTCGATTATCTATGTTTAGTTGAAAAACAGTATTTGTATGTTTTTTACTATAGATTCTCAGTAAAACTATTTCCTGAACAGTGACCTTTGAAGTCACAAAACTGGTAGATTATTATTAAAAAAAACATTAAGAGAAAAGTCTGACATTCTAAGTCGTTCTGCACTTTTTCCTATACATAAACATCCACTGGACAAAATACCTACTAAACTACAAAAATAATCTGCCTCATCCTTAAAACATGCTAAGTAACTCATAAAATAAACCATTTTGGAATTTGTATTAATTATTAATTTATTATTAATTATATATAAGACTTCAGTAATAGATAGATAAACAATTTCTCCTGAATTTCTTGTACGTGAATTGATAAGAAACGTAATACTTACATTTGTTCGTGAAAAAAACAACAAAAAACAGAATATTTTATTTCAGTGTGTTTTTGTTACATTTTTAGTTCTTAGTTTCTTAAAGATTCAACTTATTCACATTGTATATAGTCTGGAACATTCTCTTTATAACATGTATCCAGTTGTTTTATTTCACTTATTTCATCATTTTACATTGAAATGATCAAGGGATGATTACGTATTCCATAATCAATAGAGCTTGTAAAGTGGCATTGATTGATAATTAGTTTGCACTCAATGGATTGGAATATTCTGGTATAGTGCAAAAATATTGAAGCTACATTATTCAAAATTTTTATACAAATTTACACATTTATTGAAGGAATGCTCACTTTATTCACTGCATTAGATATATGTATGTTAAGTTGGAAAACCCAATAAAATAATTTTATTTCTGGCATTTTTGATGACTTACACTACAGACTAAGTCCTAGAGACAGTCATTGTAACCATTTTGTGCTTGTCATAGTTTTCATACTATAATTATTAATACAATATCCGTATCTTTATGCAATTTGGCAGATTATCATTAAAAATAACAAGGCTTTTGTACACAAAATATCAGATTTTTTAAGTAAGTTTTAAGATTTTTTAATTAAAGATTTGTTCATGCATTTTTTTTGAATTTTGACTATCTCATGTGCAAAATCTCTATAACCTCCTAACAAAATACAGATAAAAGCAAATGTTCTTTTAGAAAAACTTTATATTTTATCTGTTATTTTCTCTATCTTATCTCTGTATGAGTTTGGTCGATTTGACCAACCTCATAACTGCCACAAAAAATTAGGAAATAAGGTTTAAGTTATGCTTTTTTTCATTCTATAATGAACACAAATTGTAATATGAAACCACAAATGTTTATTCTAAATAGCTTAAATCTATTTATATTAATTATTTTTATTTTATTGACCTTTCAACCATTTCCAACTAACATTGCAGAAGTTGCAATCACAGCATATTTGCATCTCATGTTACCATATCCAATAGCATAAAACTGGCATTTACAAAGTGATCTGTCTTGGCTTTGTTCTAGTGTTTTGTTGTAAAAGACAGTCACATTTTGTTTATAATACATTACATATGTAAATATTATTACTATTTACAAAAAATTCTTAAATTTCAGTTGTTTTTTTTCTTAAAACATAGAACAGTAAAAATAAATATACAGAAATCAATGATCTCTACTACTTATGATGGTAAAGAATTGTACTCACTTGCCATACCTTATATGCTAAGCCTTACCAAATCTCGCATGTAAAGAATGTAAAACAAAATAATAATAAATTACTTAACCAATATCACAGAATTCCAATGTAATTTATCGGGTTTTTTGAACATCATTTTCTCTTACCCCTTCCCTCAAAATTTTAAAAGAGAAAGACTAATTAATAGTTAATTAATGATTAATAGACACCTTGAATGGGCTAAGAAAACCAAATGAGAGAAATTCTGAGCTTTTGATTGGTTATAAACACATAATAAAGCAAAGCAGGTACACGTAAGGAAGTATTTCCAAAAAATGAAAGAGGTGGGTGATTAGTTAATATAGTGATATTTCAGCAAATAGAAAGGATAGGAGGTTCTTTTTTTATACTACCTTGACAGTATTGGTAGTTCAAGCTTCTAATTTGTAATAAACTACAGGTTTTGTATTTTGACATCACAAACTTCTAATTTGAACCAAAGCTGCATTCAACATACCAAGTGACACACAAAAATCAATATTTAGGAATTTTGTTTTAAGGTTTCCTTTTAAATTGAGAAATTAACTAATATATAACATTAAAATTTGAATTATAATCTACAGTTTGATACCAAACTTATTGACGTACATTCATAAAATAATAGTTCAATAAAATTCTGAATGTAAGTCTACAAATGTGATGACATGCCCTTTGACCCCTGATGACAGGAAAACCTGTAGTGATAGGGTTAAACTTTAAAACAAACAGAAGTGAAGCTCTGTACATCTCTGAATAAAAACAAGTAGAGATAATAGCGTAAAAGTGAAAAGAAGGAAAAAAGGGATCTGATTTTTGCTAAATGTAACTCTTTCATTAATCATCTAAGAATAATGAAAGACACCCCTATCAAGGTTTTCAGTAACTAAAATTGCAATAACAAACTTTAATTCATGCAATAACAACTAAAATAATTTCTCTGAATCAATTCATTATTGAATACCAATCAGTGACTGTGATAAAACATTTAAACCTCTGAAGTTATAATTCTATGATTTTATTTATACAGAAGCTAAGAATAGTGCAAGGTTGTTCTTGAAACTTTACTGCCAATTTAAAACAACTTGTACACCAGTTTGTTACATTACGATAATTCATCCAATACAATGGTAGAAACATTTATGCAAACATTTACTGTCAAGTTCTCTTACTCTTCACGAGCTGAGAAAGTTTTGAATATTATTTACATGTGGACTTGAAGCAGAATGATTGATGTGTTTGAATGTTGATTAAAATATTAAGATAAGTCTTGGAATTGTGTATGCACAGCTGCTATTAAATGGGAATTTTTCAAACAAAAATTTCTATTTTGAGATGATCAATTCAAGTGTTGCTTCCGATCTTTGTTTTGCACTGATTGGATAACGATAACTTGTGCACATAAATGAAATAATGGTGGCCTGGTAAAGAGTCAACAAGCATGGTGATAGGTTTGTCTATTGCTTATGTTTTGAAATTGGAAATCACCAAGGACACATATTCTATAAGAACCACTTTTATTAATAAATAAGTTCCAATTAAATTAAGTCAATAAACAATACTTTTGTTTCTTTATTCCCAATAGACATATCTCACATGAACAAAATTTCAATAATAGTATCTGAAGAATATTCAAGTATAAATCAAATAGATGCTATGAATGTTCAAATAATAAGAATCAGATATTTGTTTCAACACCAATTCTCACCTTGTCTTCTCTACTTAGATGAATTGGATATATTTGTTAAAACATTAAGATAATTTTCAAACTATTCTGCACTGCAGCTAATAGTTAAGAATTTTCCAGAATAGAAATTTCATTGGGCATGTATTGAAATATTATTCAAGAGAAAGAAAAACTGTTGTACTGGAAAGTCGAAGGTCATTGTTATTGTCACTGAAATAGAAGAGATTCAGTAACAACTTTTAAACACTTGGAGCATAAATTTTATATGAAAATTTGGTTCCTACAGAACAAAACAAAATCCATATCTGGTTTTCAAAAACTAAACCCAAAACCCCATTTTTTGGAAATTCTACTTACATTAACATGCTAACAGTCAAAGCAAGGAGCAAGTACTCTTCACTTTAGTAAGTAACATATGTTATTAAGTAACATATTTATCACTCTTGCCATACAAGCTAAGTAATTGTGAAAGACAAGATTCTAGAAAAGGATCAAATACCAGCCATGTTGTCATCCCTTTGACTTCTACCACTTTGTAACAGAGACTTAGCAAGGCATGAAGAAAAAACACTGTAAAGATTCCAACAGAAAGGAAGAAGAAGCCCAAAAAATATTTTTATCACATAACTTTTCTCTCACACAACATAAAATTTACAAGTAATAAAAAAAATATTTCCAAAAATTAAGATGTAAGGATGACAATCCGAAGAAGTATAGAAACAAGGTATTGATAAATACACAAAACCATACTAAAATCACTATGTAAATAGCCAAATCTTTCCAAGAATAACTTTTATATACAACTAAATGTTGAATTTCCATCAGTTGCATGAATTCAGGTTTGACTAAAAGCCTTTAAACTGAATAGTGCTATATAGTCTTACAGTGGCTAATACCCATAAGCTTGCAAGATTGACTCAGTACTTACTGGTTACTTATGTAATTTCTGTATGGTTTAGAGTATTCCGTACTTTTTGACATTGCCATCC